GCCCAGCTTTGGTAGTAATTCAGGAGAAAAAGGAACATGAAGAGGAAAACATGGCCTCACCTCCACCTCTTCTCCTTCTCCGATCTCCTTCTTGACATCAGCAGGTGGCGGCAGCCTGACGTCGCTGAAGGGCACCTGGCGTTCTGGCTGCCAGCTGAGACACAACCGTCACACTTTACTACAAACACAACTAATCTGGTTTCTATGTTTCCTTGTTTTACGTAATAAAGAAGGAGACTTGCTTACTTGTTCTCGAAGGCAATGGTGAGAGAGTCATCGTGGATATCCTTGACAAAGCCCTGCAGGACAAAAACAGCGGAATAAAAGCAGCTTTTATAGCAAATTCCTGAAACCAAATAACTCACGACTATTTTAGTCACCGATTATTCTAACAATAATTAAGGCTTAAGTGGATAAATGAAAAATCTGGCGATTAATTGTACGATTAACAGCCAGATTTTTCATTTAACCACTTAAGTGTTTAATATAGAATATTAGAAATATATTAAAAGACGCAAATGAACAAAAAATTAAATAAGAAAATATTTTATTCCCTAAAGTGATTCAACCTAAAGAATCCAACAATTTAAAACTTTGAAGAAAATAATAAAATCATTTATTGATATGTTGAATATTTAAGTTTCAAATAGCAGTTCAATTCATTTTGGTGTTCATACGCAGAAAAGCTTAAAGTACCTTCAAAGTTTGCTTCAAGGACACACTACAATAACTTATGCAGGTCATGTGACCATTTTCAGCAGAAACCCAACCCAAATTATTACATCAACACCATTTCCTTAATGGTTACATATTCAGATAACTACAAGTTAATGAGTCTGAAAACGTTTCTAGTTGAGTGGGTTACAGTGGAAAAAGCCTTGAGGAAAGTATGAATCAGACTGATCCAAGGCATGAAAGTGAAAGAAGAAACAAAAGGGAGGAAAAGGAAAGGAGAGCTAAAAAACATGAGGGTATCACTTTGGGTTGGAGGTCCAGAAATAGCTTGGAAGTGTGCGGTATCAGCGACCCTGTGCTGGCATGCCAGCTGGTCGGGAGTGACAGGGAACAGCTGGCTCACACACGCACATAGTAAAGATAGCTGGGACGTGATCAAGTATCAAATAATAGACGGTGACAGAAGGTGCTAGTCTGTTCAAAAACTACCTGGCAGCTTGATTTTTAATTGAAAACCCAAAAATAAAAAACGTATTCAAGTCCTAACGCTCATATAAACTCAGAAAAGGGGGATGAATGTTACCTGGATACCGTGTTTACTCAACATCTTCAGACGTCAACAGTTTGGCAACTAGCAAGTGAGCTAGCTTTTAGCTAAGGAAGACAACGCTCAGAGTAAAACTAGACTGGGGGACATAGCTTTTATTTGTTTAATAATCAAAACATCACGAAACAGACAATATTACTCCCTCATAGTGTTTAACAAATGTCGTCAAAAAGTAATCAGACCTGCTAGCATCGTTAGCTTAGCTTGCTAATTTGTGCTAGCTCTGCGCTTGCTGTCTAATGATGGATCCAGAACCGGTCCGAACATCCACCCGCTGAACCTGATGTTTCAGCAGAACATGCAGTACTTGATAATGACATGTTAAGTTTCCAGACGTGTTGTTTAGCCGGGATTTACCTTGTAATAAGCGCCGTTGGAGCCACGGACCTCCACCGCCAGTTCTTCCATATTGGACACGCAAAGGAAGCCGGGACGACAGGTGCTCCTTAACGCATCGGGGGTGAGGTTAAAAGCGGATGAGTTTCTGTTCTTCTGCTTTTTGTGTTTACTTTTTACCCTCGGAGTTCAATAATCACTTCTACATCGCTGTGAAATTATAGTCTGTGCTAAGTAGCAAAAGGAATATATGCGCATGCTCAAATTTAAACCAAAAATAACAAACTGCGCACACGATGAAAACTGCAATTACTCTTTCCTTTTTTTAACTTAATTTATTTCTTGTTACCAAAAAAAATAAAGATTATGCTTTTTATTTATACACCTCATTAAGTAAAATTAATCAAATGAAGTTTACAGGGGTGCTCAAAGTGTGGCCTGGGGGCCGTTTGCAGCCGCTGGAGTGGATTTGTGCGGTCCTCCCACTGCAGTTTAAGATTGATAGAAGTTAGCTCTGCCAACACATGTGGAGATTTTTTCATTTTAATTACATTAAAATTATTACAGTGGAATTTGTGTACCGTTCTTTCCTACCATTTTCAACCAAAAATCAAAAAATGTTGATGAAGCAGATGAATATCCTGCCATTCTTGAAATGGCAAAATAAATATCGATTAGAATGGAAATTTACTTTATTGCCCCAAAACGAGGAAATTATGTAGCAAGTTAAAGGTAGAAAAATGCATATTCACAGGTAGCCGGAAAAAAACAAATGTCTCTGCCACATCTTTTTAATAAATAATATTGTGCACACGGTATTGGTTTCAGAATAATTTTACCTGCACTTTACAAATGCCAGACCTATAGGGGGCAGTGTAGCACAAAACTGAAACCTGTCAACCAATCAGAAAATTTCAAAACAACCACAACTTCCTGTTAAGAATCAAACATGGCGCCAGGAGGTTCATTTGTTTGGACAAATAGATAGCTTGATCTACTTTTAAATAACATATTAAAATATAAAGTTATTAAAACACAAGATGATGTTGGTTAGGAATCATAATTTGACAAATACTTCCTTGTCAAAGGAAGTATTTGGATACATTGGCACTTTATTTGTGGCAGACTGTACTGTATCAGACCCTAAAACTCAGTTTTCTCTTGTATACTCATGAACATAAACACAGAGTTTCCTAAAATCTCCACTTAATTTTCATAAATAATCATTTTAATGATATTTAACAGAGGGTCTGTGTGGATAAAAGACCAAAACGCATAAAAATGTATTTGTTTTCCTAGATGCTTCTTTTGCAGTTATGTTTAGTCAGTTTATGTATTTAAAGACATATTAAAACTAGTTTACCTTGTAAATGTCACTGATTCAGCCTTAAAAACTCATTTTTATCTGCAGGGCCTGGAAAGAATTAAACGATTATAGCTTTCAGATAATTTCAGAAATCGTATGCAGTATCTTAACAGTTATATGATGGAGTAATGGTGCCTTAAAAAGAAAATAAAAAAAATGAGAGTAAAGTCATAAAATTACGAGAATAAAGTTATAGTGTTAAGAGAAAAAACTTTATTCTCGTACTCTTGTAATTTTGTGATTGTATTCTCATAATTTTATTACTTTAATCACATAATATTAATTTATTCTTGAAATATTATGACTTTATTCTCGCGTGACTTCATTTTCATATGACTTTATTCTAGTAATGTTATATAGTCTTTGTTTATTTTTTCTCAGCATGTCCCTAATGCTCTGTCTTACAGACAAATGAAGGAATTTGTCTGACATTGTGAAAACCAACCAGCTTTATTCTACAGATCTCACGTTCTCTTAGAGAAAACGTGAGTTCAGAGCTCTAAATTGCTTCTCCTGGTGATGCTGCTGTAAGAGCCAGTCAGCTCATGGTCATGCTGAGTCGTGACATTTATCGTACAGTGAAGCATTTCTCTCCTGATGAGAGTTAATTCTTCCAGAATGGAAGGTCACTGATGGGAGTACACATGTAAAAACAGCATCCATCCTGAGCAACACAGCAAACCTGGCAACAAATTGATAACAAATAACATACAGTAATAAAACAATTCAGA